TCTCTGAGTATGGAACCATTGAAACCTCCTGTTGAGAATCCACTCAAGAAATTTCCATGATTAGCTTTAAAGGATAAAAAGAGACTAGGTGAACCTCAAAAGCCTAGATGGTTTAATGCCTAATGTCTTTGATGATTTCAAGTCCAACGAAGTTCCTCCTTTATCTTCCTCTTGAATGAAGTCTGCACTATTTCACCACAATCCACTGTGAAACTGAAATATAGAAAAATGGAGTTAAAAAACCCAGAAATGCTTAAGAAGTTATTTATTCCCCTTTTTCCTGCTCAAGTGCAGATAAATTGCTAATATTCTATGCCAAAGTATTCATTGAAAGTTGTTGTATATATAACATTATGTTAGTTGCTCAATAAATATTTGTAGGACTGATCTGAAGATAAATACATCACACTATATATTCTAAATTAAATTTATAACTTTTATTAAATCATTCACGTGTTTCATGTCTAAAAGTCACACTGGGAAATTTACTAAACATAACATGCTAGATATAATAGAAAAGATGAAAACAATAACCATAGACTTCAAGAGTTTGTGATTTTAACTGGAAAATCTGGATAAAAACTGTATATATACTTATTGTATATATTATATACCATATATATTGCATATGTAAACCTGCACAAATGAAATGACTGGCTTTAACTTCAAGAAATTATTCCCCAGTGAAAATGACATTATGGGTGTATATTATATGGGACTGCTAAAAATTATAAATTCTTTCTTCGGCAAAAGAACAATGAATATGGTAATCAATTTACAGGAAAGTAAATGAAGAAATTGAGTATTAATCAGGTCCCAGGACAAACCATCACTCGGCAAGGAAAGAGTAAAGAGTGAATTTTGCTGCAACGCTGACTTTTAGATGAGAGATAGATGAGGCTGGCAAGGTACGTTTTCCCTGAAGCACAGAACACACAGGCACAGAATTAGTGCTTGTGAAATTAGAAGAGTAAACTGAAGACAGTATTGAAATCTCATGCCAGAAGTATTGCCAATAAGATTCAGAGCTAGGCATCAGTTTTCTGATGAAAATATTCTATTCCTATGGACTGTTAACCATGTATACAAGGACTAGTGAAAAAAAAATCTTATCTTTTTGTCTTTGTTAGGATAAAAGTGTAAGTATAGGATCACCTAAGGAAGAAGGCCAGTGATGATTACAGAACTATAAGGCCTGTTCCACAGGAAACATCTAGTATATTAAACTTGTTCAGAGAATCAATGTCAGGGTTTAAAAGGAGCTATCAGGATATTGAGCTAAGAGAATCTGAAAGACATTTGACTTGAGAGAAACTAATAAAATCTTCTATCAGTGAATATGATTGAAAATAAATAACGGTTTTGGTTAATTGTGGTATCTGACATTGAGCATTTTAATAAAAAATTGATATTATCCCTTAGTGTTACATTTTGTTTATACTTATCTTCCAATATCATATTGTGTTTTGCTGGGACAGATCTAGTAATTTCCAACTTGTAATTATATAACTCCTTCCTCTTCCCTAAGGAGAAAGTTCGTGTCAAAAATGCAATATACAAATAAATATAAGCAACAGTGGAGTTGGCCCTCAAAGCTTTTAGAGAGCCTATAAAATTTGATTAAATTCTTTTGTCGTTATTATGTTTTCATCACCCCTGTCATTGCGTCTACACTTCTGAACTCCACCTGGGAGCAGCTGTAACAAGGTATCACAAAACTGGCTTTTTTCACTCTAATTCCAGCCTGCCAGGAGCAGCCAACATAGGAAATCTCAGGAGAAAATTCCTTGTCATACTATTTACTGCCCAGTTTTTCAAACCCAAGAGGTTTAGCTAGTAGTAGTTTTCAGAGTTTCAAATAAGATTACCAGTTTGGTGCTATTTATCTATAATAAACTTCTAAATATTCAACATAAAAGTCATGGCTTTTCAGTTTAGGGCAAACCGATGAATATTCTTGGAGGATTTCAGTAAGAGGGCAGTTCAGTATACAAGGGATGTCACATGATTCTGCTCTTCTGCTGCTACCTAATATTTGCAGGGAAAATTATACCATTGCACACAGCTAAAGAGACCTGGAGATAATCTGATTTAATGAATTCATTTTGCAGAAAGGGTTGAAAATGAGTTACCCAAGATCATACAGTTATTTAGTAGGAAAATTGAAATAGGGATCAGGTTTTATTACTCTGCACAGGCATATACTCCATTCAGAAATTGAATTGAATTCACTTCAGCAGAAGCCCAGAACTGCTCTACAAAAGAAGCAAAAAGCATAATATTTTTCCTCAATAGCTTTGCACTATCTATAAAGTACACAGGCAAAGGAGATTATTCTTTCTGACGACGTATGATTCTAACATAAACAGAATGCATAGAAATAACAAACATGAATGGATTACTATGGGAATTTTAATGAAATAAATCATTAAGATGAACCTTAAATAATGGTGAGATATATGGATGGGAAAAAATATTAACCTGTAACATGTAAGTGTCAGTATGTTAAGCACTGGATTAAAATAATCAGACTAGGTATCATATATGAACAGCAACAAAGACAGAAGAAACTGATTAATATCCTAGTTTTTAATTATTAAGACTGAAAAATTCTAGTCATGAGGGAACTATGTAATGTACTTTCAGGATGTTCCCTGAGCTTACCAAACTGTTCTAAAGTAACAGTAAAAGTGTATCCGTCATAGTCATATTGAGCTGCTCAACAAAATATCTTATGTCAGTACTATGGCTTACAAATAAAAGACATTTTTTCCTCAAAGTTGCAGACACTGGAAAGTCCAAAGTCTAGATATTAAGAGTCTAGAGATTAAGGACCACATTTCTCATAGAAGACTTTTAGCTGTGTCCTCAAATGCTGGACGGTATAGCTAACAATCTGTGGCCTCTTTTGTAAAGGAAATAATCCATGCATGAGGGTTCCAGTTCTATGACCACTATAACAGCACTAACTTATCTATACAGTATTTCTTCCCCAAAGGCTCCACTTACTACTACTTTTAGGTTTACTCTCTTATAATATTTTTTTTTAAATTTGAAGCATGCATTACTCACAAAGCAATTAAAAAATAATTCCTACAGCAGGAAGAATAAGCCAGCTAGAATTTAGGTGAAAAAATGCGAAGAGGCTCAATGACTGTCATTCAAGTACATTCAGGAATGGTTCCATTCCCATTGCACAGCTTGGAAAATCTCAAAGTGCTTGAGACATTTACTCAGGAATAGCTTGTCTTAGTACATAGAGCCATATCCAATGCAGTGCTCTAGACAAAGGTCAAAGGGATCAAGTGTAAAAATGCAAAATGGTTTTTAAATAACTTAAGACATTCTGAGAAAAATTTCAAAAGTTTTTATACAAATATAAAAATACTCTAGATTCAATACAAGTGAAATTTAAATCAGACACCCAATTAAAGTGTACTAAGCATGAAAAGGCAAAAGAAAATCATAACCTTCATTAAAGTACTCAATCATTTGGCACCATAACGTCATGCCAATCTTAGAAAGGTCAATAAAAATGTTAAAACAGTTCATGTAACAATATTCATTAAGTACACGACATGAAGCAAGGTATATAAGATATAAAAGTGATTAAAAGAAGTTAAAAAAGATGATAAATACCAGGGTTATAACTTTAAAAATGAGTAATGGTAGGGTGTAAGTAAAGGCAGATGAGACAGAGATAATGATTAATGACTTGAAGAAATAGTAATGGAGACTGTCTAAAGAGTGTGGTTATGGGAGACAGAGAGAGCGAGAGAGAGAGAGAGAGAGAGAGAGAGAGACAGACAGACAGACAGAGAGACAGAGAGTCAGAGAGACAGAGAAACAGAGAGAGACAGAGACAGAGAGAGACAGAGAGAGAGAGAGATGGTACTCCAACTTGGAAGAAAATTATAAGCCCAGAAATCTAAGAACCTCAACGACCTTCAAGAATAAGAAAAACAAAGTAAGTAAATCACATTATAGCACATCACAATCAAGGTGCTCAAAACTAGTGGTTAAGTAAAAAAAAATTTAAATTATCCAAAAGAGAAAAAAAAAACATATATTTAAAAAATGAAGATTAAGTAATAACATTTTTAGGAATATAAAAGCTGACAATTTAATATAAATCTAGCGGCTCTAGAAAAGAAATCCTTTGTAGAGTTAGGAAATAATAAAAACAGAGATACAACTCCATTCCAAGTAATAAAAAACGAAGTCAGAACTAAATGAGAAGAAAAAATTCAAGAAAACCTCAGTTCACAAATATTTCTTTTTGTGAACAATTTTGTTCACTAACAGAGGCATTCGGCTAATTTTGCTTCCATTCTTGAACTTTGAATCCCTCAGCCATCTTTCCTCCCCATAAACAAAGACACAGCCCTCTTCCTCAGAATCCCAGAAGAAATTTAGTTTGTGAAGCAAAGTACCACAGCATATGCATACGATTTCTCTTCAGATGAAAATAATACCACTTTATATTTGCAACGTGTGTGTAAGTTAAAGAAAATATTCTAAATCCTAATGCAAACGAACATTACAAAGCAAAGTGCTGTACCTAATAACTTAAGAAGTGGATACAAGTCTGTTGTTAATTAAGCTGGAAATATCTTTTCCGCACCCAGAGTTCTGTTTTCACTCTTTTAATTATATTTTTGGTGAAAGTATTTAGTTTTTGTGTAGTTCAATTTATCAGTCTTTTTTATGGTTTATCCGGCTTGTTTTCTGTATGAAAGATCATTACTTCCACTTCTATCCAGGAGATAGAAAGTTACAAGAAAATATTGCTACCAAAAATTTAAAAAGTGGGGTGACAGAAAATGAAAAATATTCAAGTACTACAAATGAAAGAAAAAAGAAGAAACAAAAAATGAAAGATAAATAAATAGAATTTTCAAGACGGTGGAACTCAACCTGAATGTTATTATATTAAATACCATAGTGTAAATATCCCTAACAAGAGGTAAGAATTGGATAACTAGTAAGGCAAAAACATATTACCCATAAGAAATGTACATTAAATATAAAAGTGCAAGTAATTTTAGTGGCTTTGCTTATGGGATAGATAAAATGGCCACAATCTGAAGAAAGAGGGTCCTTTAGTGTCTTCCTCCCATATGAAATGGCTGAACAGAATTTTTAAAAAATAGAAAAATAAAAGTTCGAATAGATTCTAAGTAAAACATTGTGGAAAATAGATTATATTAATGCTAAGAAACATGTAACGTGATTATATTAATATCAGTGAAGATAGAGTTCAAGCAAAGGATATTATGAGAAAAAATTATAATGATAAATAAATTGATTTTTCAAATACATAAGTTTCTTTTTTTTCAAGAAAAATAAATTTCCAGAAAATCTCTAGTTTAAATCATTTTTCTCATTATAGAACTACATTAAATCCATGTGAAGGTGTACATATTATTTAAAGTGCATTCTCTGGCCATAAAGAATTAAATTATGTATCAGTAATAGAAATACATCTGGCAAATATCTAATATTGGAGAAAATATCTTAATTCTAAATAGTGTTTTAATTTAAGAACAAACTAAGGGGAAATTGGAAAGAATTCTAATGAATTAAAAAGAAAATATTTCAGAATTTTTGACTGATGCTAAAGTAGTAAGCATAATATGTATAACATTCTGAACATGTAATACAAAAGAGGAAAGATTATAAGTCAACAACATCTACTTCTACCCTAGGAAACTTATGAGAAGCAAATTCTTACTAAACAGAAGGAAATAAGTACAGAAGTCAATGAAATTCAGAAATAGCAAAAATAAATGAAACAGACATTATTGAGGAGAATTCAACATATAAATCTCTAGTCAGAACATTCAAGAAGTTAAGACACAATTACCAATACATTTAATAAAAGAAATGACATCACTATGGAACATACAGATATGAAAATAAAATGTGAATTATAGTATTTTTAGGCACATGAATACAGAAAAATAAATTCTGTGAAAGACACAACACACTAAAGTTCATTGAGTAATAATAAAATTCATTAAATATAGATAATGTGAATGGATCTATATAAATTTTAGAAAATGAATTTGTATTAAAAACTTTCTACAAAGGAGTCTGCAGTTCCAATTGGCCACCTTAGTGAATTACACCAACATTTAAAGGTGAAATGAAATAGATGCCCCACAACCTTTCATAAAACTAGGAAAGGAGGCAATGTTTCCCACCCAATATTTTTTAAATGACCACTATATGCTACTACAAACAATTACTTTCTAGAAAAGAAGTATAAAAATAGGATATATATTTTGATTTTCAAATAAAATTTTACAAACCATAACACAAAATAACAGTCGTCTCTACAGTAGGAATTGGCTGAAAGACATCCCGTGGATATCAAATCCTTAGATGCGTATATCTTACCATAAAATGGTGTATAATTTGTGTATAAACTATCCATATCTTTTCATATCCTTTAAATCATATTTAAATTATTTGTAATATTTAATAAAATATTATTGTTAAGCTGGTGATGGTTATATTGTTAAGAGTAGAGTGACAAAATTTCTTTTTTATAATATTAAAAGTGGAATTATTTATTTCAAATAGTTTCAATACATAGTTGAATTCATGGATATAGAACCCAAACATATGAAGGAAAAAACTGGATATGATTTTTTTTTTATTTCTAGGGGAGTTTATCTTAGAAGTATTGACAATTACTTACATTAAGAGATTGAAAAAAAGTGATAGCACAATACACACAGCAAAATATTTTATAAAATTCAATATCTAGTTTTATAAAAATCCTTGGCAAGTTATGAACAAAGGAAATTTTACCAACCTTAAATATAATATGTAAAGGGCTGGGGATTTTAGCTCAGCAGCATAAGCTCCTGCCTTGAAAGTGTGTGACCATGAGTTCGATCCCCGGTACCAAAAAAGAAAAAGAAAAGAGTAAGAAAACATACAGCTAATATAATCCTTAATGGTTGAATGACTGAATGATTTGCATTAATATCAGAACAAGAGAAGAATGTTTACCATCACTGCTTCTCTTCAGTATTCTATTAAAGTATCTCCTCTATGAAATGAGCAAAATAAAAGCCACGTAAATTGGAAGGATGAATGTAATCTTTACTTTTAACATAACTGCCTATGTAAAGTATAATGATGGCATATAAATTTTATAAGGTTATAGGACTGATGATAAATACATAAAAATCTATTGTATTTCTATATATTAGAAAAAACAGATATGGAAAACTTTCTAACAATATTCATAATACCTTAAAATGATATATTTAGTTATAAAAATAATAAAAGCAGTATACTAAAAGTTCAAAAAAATCTGAAGACATAAAGATTGGTAAATAAAGAGATACTTTTTCCTTCATCACAAAATTATACATTGCTGAAGTATCATTTTTTTCCTATTTAGGTTATATATTCTAAGCAGTTTCCATTGTTATCTTAGCCAGTTATTTCATAGGCTGTCAGAATGACTCTGAATTTTATATGAGAATCCACACAGTGTAAAGGGATAGAGTGAAAAATACTAGACACTGTAATAACTGCAAGACCCAGATCCAAGGGCGACAGATGCGGGAGGCATGTCTGAGGAGGGCGGCAGTCATGGCAGTATCTCACCACATAGTCTCACAGCTCCTGCTCTTTCTGCTCACCTGATACTCCTGTCTCTTTCACTGGGTCAACTGGGTAATTTTATTCTTTAGTTAAAGGGATTCCTGATGTTTATTCGTCCTCTGCCTGGTTTCTACTATCTCTATTTCTCCTCCTGGCTACTTCCAAAAGATGGCTTTCATAGCTAAATGATGGGGTAAACACCAGAGAGGGAAACCACTGATTCCTATTCAGAAAAATACTATTGAAATTCTAGGGGGTGGCCTGAAGATTTCATAAAGTGTTGCTCCTTCTCCCTTTAATTTTTTTTTTTTTTTTTTTTTTTTTTTTTTTTTTGCTGTAGAAAGTGTTTTTTCCCTTAAGATGCTAGCTGGGCTGTTAAAACCTCTTACTCTTAAGCTGTTCCTCTGCATGGCTTCCATTATGAGTGTGGCTAAATAATTCTTAATGAATCCTCCTTTATCAGCAATGCTCAGCTCTTGTGAGCAGGATTTGCTACTCTTAATTCCACATGGAACACAAATGGGTCACCAAATTGTCCGTAGCTATTACTGACAGGATATGTTGTCATCATTTAATTACATTAAATGCTCAAATTTTGAGTCTTATTTAAGTGATATAGCTATACATATTCAGTACAAGGGATGTAAAAAGTTATGTCCATAGTACTAAATGGGGCTTGACAATTCCATTGTATAAGGAGAGACTGAAATTTGTGCTATATAACAAAGGAGTTTAAATAAAAACATATGTGGAAACCAACTACTTCCTGGGATTTGTAGACACCTTTATGTATCAAGTAGTCATAGGATCCCAAGTGTCATGACATTGGGGAAGTCGCCTTTTGATGACTGACCAGAATTCCACTTGAGAAGAGGCACAGAGAAGATGCAGGGCATCAGAGGTCTACGCTTCCTTTTAGTGTTACTGTCATTGTTATCCGTGTAAACTTTCACTCACTTATCACAATGTGTGTCCCAAAATTATATCTTAAATAAAATAAAGTAAAAATTAAATCTTAAATAAATCACTTCCAAAAGCATGTTATACTAATCTCAGGGCTAAAATCCATGTGTGTTTCGCTTAAAAGTGAAGGTTCCACCATCATTTGGTTTGACACTGTACTAGGCTTGTTTTTTTAAAATGCTAATAGTTTTTACATAAATGGAGGTAAAGTGAAAAGGAGTATTAGGAAACATTGAGAAAAGCAAGATACAGACACTATGGAGCCGGGGATTTAGCTTGGTGGCATAAGTGCCTGCCATGCAAACACCACGTAGTGAGTTTGATCCCTGGAATCACACACACACACACACACACACACACACACACACACACACACGCACACACACACACACATTATTTGTGACAAGTATGTGCACTTAGATATTTAGAAAGTATTTCTATTTTTGAAATTAAATAAATGTAACAAGCACCACACATGGTTTTGCTACATTCCTAGACCGTATGAAAATTTGTATCCTAGGCTTTCAACACAATCATACTTAGGATCTATTTGAGTTGACAAAAAAACAAGCATTTAAGAAGAGAGAGGTGTATTTATTCATTGTGGTTGTTGAAAAAAATTACCAAAATTTGATAGCTGACAGAAAAGAAATGCATTTTCCTATAGTTCAAGAATCATAAGACTAAAATAATTATCACCAGCCCCAATTAAATTTTCATAAAGGTCATAGGACCTCTGGAGTTTTCAGGGCAAAAAAAAAAGTTTTTTTGTCTCTTCCAGCTGAGTGGTGGTTCTGGCATTTCATAGTTTGTGCATAAATAATTTCTACTGCCATGCGGCTTCCTCTTCAGTCTGTCAAATCTCCCCATTCCTTTCTCTTTTGTTGGTATTTCTGATTGTATTCAGACATGCTCACATAATTCTTAATTTGAAGATTTTTTTCTTAATTGTTAATGCATGGATTTTTGTTTCTAAATAAGGTTGCAGTATTTGTGGATACCAGAGTTAAGGTCTTGATAACACTGCAATTATCAGTGTATGATAATAACTCTCATTGCTATTGTTTCTAGTGATAAAGTAATACTACGTTTTAGAAATTTGGCTTTACTGAAGAAGAGAGCTGAATTCATGTTCGTATACCAGCTAAATCATATTGACAAAAATTATGAATGTCTGTGTATTTCATTTTCCCCATCTGTTAAATGAAGATATGTATGATTAATATCTGACAACATTGTCATAAAGATTAAATAGGAGACCATATATAAAATTTTGCACAGTTTAGACTTACTAAGTATCCCTAAATTATAGATATTATTATTTTTATGAGACTAATAAAATCACTAATTTATTTAAAACAAAATGCTTGCTAACCTAAAGGCTGTAAACTTCCATAAAATTTGGTGACTATTTTCAGAAGCTTACAATCCACTTGATGAGGCATTATTCAAATGCATATTATCCTAGAAAAGTGACAGATACATGCTGGAAATCATAAGTACTAGGGTTGTTCCAAGTAAGCTCGAATATTTTTATTATGATAAAATAGGCAT